ACAAGCAGCTATTCTTCACCCTCGACGCCCCGAATGAGTTTCATCCACCAGAATGTACCTCACACCTAAAATGTGTTCCCATATAGGGTGAGCTATGCCTAGTAGAGTATTTCCTATAGAGGCTACTCCCTAAGCTAAGTGCATATGCAATGTTCACATGCAACATTTTCCAACAACAATCATTCCACCCAAGATTTAAGCAAATCAAAGTTGGAATCTAAATGTCATTCCATAAAATGAGACGATATCCATTCGTATAATTTACCCGAGCCCTTCCCGGCTCCACTACACATGCAATGGCAATGTGTATAAAATCGAGCTTTTCTAGCTCCGACCGTTTACCATCACCCAATGCTATGCAATAAGTATCAAAATCGGGTTTTCCAAGCCCCCACCAATTGTGTTACACACCCAATGACTATTTAAAATGTCTGGGTCTTTCTAGGGGTGGGTATTTATGGACTTACACCAACAATTACCCAACCAACAAGGAATTCATGGACTTCCACCAACGGTTTTGCGTACATCGACACACTTTATGGGCTCTCCTACCAATGAAAGTGCATATTCGAACACCGGGTCTCTCACCCGAGGGATAGTCAAGCCCTATTTGCTACCCTGACCCAATTCTTTTTCATACAGCCGTGTGACTTAGCCAGATATTCAATTTAACTTTCCCAAGCCCACTCGTCAACCACCAAGTTTGGTATTTGACCAACCCATGTACTCTCCCATGCCCTCGCCCTTGTCTCATGCCCAAGGATGTGATGTTCCCATGCAAATGCAATGTAATGCATTATTTCTATCTCAATGTCATGCCCACATGTAATGAATGTCATATGAGCAACTTTAACCACATGTATACATATATCATGCAAGTTATCACCAATTTCATCACAATGTCAATATGTCAATAAGCATACGTCAACATTTCATTTTCAACAATAATTCACAAGTATGTTATTTCCTCATATATATATCCCAATAACACACTTTGTTCATGAAGGCATAATTAAAACACATAGCATACCCACATAATATCAGGTTCCATGGAATTACACAAGTAATTACCACATACCAATTCCAAGCTAGGAATTTAATTTAAATTAGGTCAATTTCCCATACCCAATTCACCAAATCAATCAATTCCATCAACTCCACATCCATAGGCAAGTGATGTATATCTTTATCAACCTACCCATTACATAAAACACCCTAGGTTGTAAAATAAATTGGAGTAGGAAGGAACCCTACCTCTTGAAGTGTAAAGAACAACCGTAGGAAGTCCCAAGAACTCGCTTCTAGCCCAAATCCCAAGCTTCTAAAAATCTCATTTTTCAACCTTTGGTGAAAATCCTCATTTTTTTTGTACGTAGGCATAGCCCTTGATGAGGAGAGTAACTTTTCCTCTTGGCCCGAGTGGGTCCAAGTACTGTGGAGTCGTAGATCGTAGATAAAAGGTGAAGAAACTCTCTCTTTTCCCTCTCTTCTCTACCGGGTAATGGCTGGACAAGAGAATGGGGGACAAATCTGATTTTCCCCCTATTTATACTTCTTAACACTTGGCCCACAATCTGTCACACGGTCCTCTTTTTCTTGGGTCAATTTCTACCCCGAAATGATTAAATTTTGTCTCAGTTTAAGTTCAAAATTTTTTAATTTTAACTTACCTTAAATAATTTTCCAAAATTTGAAATTTTATTAAAAATTTTATTTTTGGGGTTACCCGAGACTCGACTACCTCGTAAAACGTAAAAAATCTGACTATCTCAAAATTCGATGAAATTTGACTGGGTAACTAGATTTCGTGAGGCAAATCCAATGATGAGGTCTGTTTTATCATTCAAGATCTAGAAAAATTCAGGTTTATAACCCGTACTTTAGCAATAATTTACCGTTTTGCTCTTTTTTTTGTAAAAAGTTTAAATTTACTGGGTTTTACACTCACTTTGGCCTTTAAGGCTCTTCTCTTCTCCTTAGGCATGTCCGTATTCTTCGCACTAGGAAAATCTGTAGCTAAGTGTCCAAGCCCATAACACTCGTAGCATTGGAGACATTGCCCCTTCTTCTCAACCTCTTGTCAAGAAGATCTACCCCCACTTTATTTACCTTTTCTAAGAGATCTAGGTGTATTTGGGTTTCCTTTTGGCCTTGAGGACTTAACACCACTAGCCTTGAAATAGTTTTTGAATTTTCGAGCAAGATAGGCTGTGTAATTTTCTCCTAACGGGGTGAATTGTATTTGCCTCCTTCTTGAATTTTAGAATTTAATGCAACACCCTCCACTTTTTTGTGTGGAAGAAAGTTCATCTCAAAATTCAAAATCAACCCAAAAAGGTCTTCGACCGACACCATGGACATGTTGACAATCATCTTGAGCGAGGTTACTTTAGCATAAAATATCTCTAGTAGAGATCTCAAGATTTTTCACTTAATCGTAGCATTGTCGATTTTGTTACCTAAGGCAAAGGAAGTGTTAACAATATCACATAACTTGGCATAAAAATCACCAAAATTTTATTCCTCTTACATTCTCAACATCTCAAATTGTGAGGTGTACCTTTGGAGATGAGACATCTTGACCATTATAGTTCTTTCATGTGAAATCACAAGAATATCCCATGCCTCCTTTAAAGTCTCACAATTAGCGATCCTTCAAAACTCTTTCAATGTCACAACATTGAATATCACATTCAAGCCTTTTGAGTTCCACCACCCTGATTCAATCTCAGTCTTCAACCAAGTTGTTGGGGATTTTACTTCAACCACCTCTTCACAACCTTCAACTTTAATTACAATGTCTTTCTTTATTGTTATTGCTTTTATTTTCAATATGAGTGAGTAGTTTCATAATCGGGATATCGGAGGATGGATTCTCATCAATTAGGGGGTGATTTTGATCTAACCAAGGTTTTAAAGTTAAAGTTGATTCATTGATTTTAATTAATTGATTTGTAAAACTTTATTGATTTGTAAATATATTTGATTAGCCATAGACAATTGGTTTTTGTATGGTTAATTCTTAGAGACCTTGACCTTTGCTTAACCATAGACAATTGGTTTTGGCATGATTAATTCTTAGAGTCTACAATCAATGTGATATAAATTCTTTCATAAATTAATTTTATCATTGAACTACATCTTCTCTAAATTGTGATTCTGTGTTGAATATCATCACTCTAAGTGAATTTGATTACAATCTTGGATGAGTAATAAATTATGTTTAAATTATTATTCATGGTGAGATGAAACCCTACGATTATCTGGTTTAATTTAATATCCTTTATTTAAATTTATTATTTCTCAAATTCTAAATATTTTTACTTTTAGTTTTATATTACCTATTGAATTTGTCCAAAGTTTTTCCTGAGGAGATGACCTCGGTAATCAACTAAGTTACTACAAGATACACTTCCTACTCTTGAGAACAACATTTATATTTTACCACTTTGAGGGTCAAGCATTTTTGGCGTCGTTGCCATGGATGGCAAGCTACAATTTGAAGGTGATTTGGATTAACGACAAGTAAGTCTTGTGATTTTCATCACAAGCTCATATATGTTTCTCCATTGCTAATTATTTGTATGTTTTCCTTTAGTTTAGATTTTTATTTTTGTTAAATTTAAGTTGTTGCATGTGGGCATGTGATTAGTTGAATGATAGACTTTTTAGATGTTGCCTAAGACCTAATTTAGATATGGACAGATTGAATAATGATGACTCACAAGAGTAGAGGAATATAGAAAATAAATTTTCACTCGTTCCTCCGCTAACTTCGAGGAATGATGTAAATAATCTCCCAACTGTTCCTACTATGTGAACAATGAGAGAATATTTATAACCCACACGAACCTCTGCATTGTCTTGCATACAATTGTTAGTGTTGTCGCATGCTTTTATAGTAAAACCTAGAAAGCTTCCACTACTCCCCTAATTTCATAGTGTGGATAGGAAATTTTCATATCTTCATATCAAGGAGTTTGAGGAAGTGGTTAGTACATTCCTTAAGGTAAATGAGTGAGAAGAGGTTGCACGAATGAAACTATTCCCACTTTCACTTTAAGGAAAAGTCTTGGCTAAACTCTTTGGAACTCCGTACAATTACTACATGGTATGATTTACAAAAGGAGTTTTTAAATAAATTTTTTCCAAGTCATAAAACTACAGCTTTGAAGAAGCAAATTAATTTTTTTTCTAAAAAATCCAATGAATAGTTCTATGACTCCCAGGAAAGATTTAAAGATTTTTTAAACTCTATTCCACACCATGGCTTTGAACTGTGGTAGCTAGTTAGTTTCTTCTATGAAGGAACTATCCATATACATTGCCAGTTCATTAACATGATTTATAATGTTGAATTTTTGAATAAAGAGCCTAAGGAAGCTCTAGATTACTTTGATAAACTCAGTAGAGAATGCCCAATCATGGGATATATCTGATCCTATTGAGAGATGAAAGTAATCTATTGCATCCCAACAAATAGGGGGTGAAAATTTTATTTTAAGCGATCAAGATTAGTCATTACCCAAGATCATGCATCTGTCATAGAAAGTGGAGGGTTTAGTGGTGAAGAAAGTGAATAAGGTAACCTGTATGTAATGCCCCAATTCGAGGGTACAAACATCTATCATGACTGGATAAATATAAACAGAAAACCCAAATTCTTAAGACAAAACCCTGTTTCCTGCTTGCACTATAATATCTTAGCCTGGCCAAATCCAATTTCAGGCAATGATGTAAATAATCTCCCAACTGTTTACGCTATGTGAATAATGATAGAATATTTATAACCCAAACGAATATATGCACCGTCTTGCATATAGTTGCTGGTGCAAGCACATGTTTTTATAGTAAAACCTGGAATGTTGCATCTATTCTAGCAATTCCGTGGTGTGGATAGGGAAAACCCCTATCTCCATATCAAGGAGTTTGAGGATGTGGTTAGTACATTGCTTAAGCAAAATGTGTGAAAAAAAGGTTGTGTGAGTGAAACTATTCCCATGAATTCAAAGAAAGAGCTAAAAATTAAGTTTGTTGGTAAGCCTACTATGAAGACGTGTCAAGGCTCCAAGGACTTTAGAGAAGAGGTTCTTGTATATTATGTGGATGATTTTGAAAAATTTAGGAAGCGCGCCAAGAATGAGTACCCCAGCCTAGATTTTTTCAAGTTTGTTTTAGGGAAGGATCTGGCAACTGTTGTTAGAAAGGATCAAAAGGAGGAAGGTGGAGAAGAGGTGGGCAGCAATCCCCTAAGGATAAGGGGAAAGAAATAGTTAAGGGGAAAACCGATCTGGAAAAGGAGACTATGGGGGATACTGCTGACAAAGCTGAGGAGGGGAAGGCTGATCAAGTAGCCAAGGAGGCCATGGAAGGCGCTGATCAAGCCAAGGAGACCTAGTAGGGTTACATGCCTTTTTTTGTCTAATAACTTTGTACTATATTCCTTCTTTGTAATGAAGTGTCCAATTTTTTTATGAATAAATTTTCTTATGTATTTGTGCTACTTTTATATTGTGTTTGTTTCACCTTTTTGTGCGTAACCTCCTAGAATAGCTCTGGCTTGCTGTAAAGTCTTTGGTGTAGTTCAAGCTAGGCTAAGTGCCTTACATCACTATTGAGTCTCTTGGGATTAATCCAAGCTAGGTTGAGTATCTTATGCTTCTGTTGAGTCTCTTAGACTCAATCCAAGCTAGGCGATGTGCCTTGTGCCTATGTTGAGTCTCTTGGACTCAATCCGAGCTAGGCTGAGTGTCTTGTGCTTCTGTTGAGTCTCTTGGACTCAATCTGAGCTAGGCCAAGCTAACAACTAAAGAGCCCATCATTATAGTGGGGCTTAGTACATATGAGTTTTTTTCTTTATGACTCTGAAAGGACATGTATTTGATGTGGATGGCGCTCAGACTTGCAAGTCATTTCATTCCCACAATGCCTTGAACTTGGAGCTTTAAGTGCATTTCATGTACGTCCATCGTGTTGATTTCCCCTTATAAAAGTGAATTGTCACTCAAGAGTTTCTATTTAAACCCTCTCTTCTATGAAATATCATGCACCTTGCTTGATCCCAAATGGTGCACCCAAGTGCAGGTGGTCAAGAAGTAGTAATAATTAGGTAAGTCTGAGGTCAATCCATAGGAAGATTGGAACACAAGAAAGGTGAAATAAAAGAAGCCGAATCGAAAGAATTGATTGTTAGTGATTGGTATCCCATTGAAAAGGAATTTAACAAATGAAAAGAATACTTCCTAGCATTAGGATAAGGGAATAATCTTATGTACTAAATATTATATTCATGCAACTAGTCATTATCTCAGCTGACGTCCAATGTTAGTTTGATCAATGAAGTATTTTACCTTAAAGAAAAAAATTTGATTAAATTGAAAATAATCAATAAAGAACTAGTTTTTTAGACTCGCAATGAATTTTGAGTCCGAACGATTGCACATGTCCTAACGAAGGCACACTATATCGTCAAATGAGCGTCTGCATGCACAACTTTGTCTGAACACCTTAAAATATCTGGAACTGTTTTTGAAGCACTTTCATTCGGATAGTAGTAGCATCCTGATGATCAATCACCATATCAATTTTTTAACTTAACCAATTTTTCGTCTTCAAAACTTCCTTACTCACGTCCAGATGGCGTAGTTTCATTTGGACACACCTACATTTGCAGTCGGGGTCCACTTTAGTCAACTATTTGACTTTCTAAAATATCAGTTTAATCCCTTTGGTTTCCATGCAGTCTGTTATTGTTCCAATCAATTTATCAAGTGTTAGAAATAGGCTCAACCTACCTGTTTTACCTGATTAATCAATCAAACACAAAAATACAATCAAAGCATAAAATCAATAGGATAAACAATAATTAACTCAGAATAAATGCTATTCATCATAGCTAACAAGTAAATAACTGAGAAATTACCCGACAAATCACACCCCAAACCTACATCTTACTAGTCCCAAGTTGGATCAATCTATAAGCAAAAGTAATTAAAAGAATCTAATAAAACTAATCTATTTTCATAGGACTCACGATTGCGTTTACTACATGCAATAAGCCTTTAGACCCCTACGTTCCCCCTAGTGGATAAGTATAGTCTCTAGAAGGTTTTCAGCGAAGATACCCACAAACTTCCATTAATATGATTATCATTGTGAACATTCCATATAACTCAACCAATAATCACCCAACTAGCAACAATAAAATTATGAATAAATGCATACCCTATTCAAATTTGAGAACCACAAATTTCTCAACAATATTTACAAATTAAGTTCTCAATTGAAACTTGTGTGTGGTATGTAAATGACCTTGCATGATTAGAAAATTAATCCAAAACATGTGACCTCTCTACTTTCCACTGCTAACATCAAATCAATCATACGTTGTTATCTCAACAAGAAGTTCAATTTTGCGTTGTTCTCTCAACAAGAAGTTCACTCAACAATAAGCCCACTCTGATTATACTAATTAATTCCCTTCATCTTTCCATATATGAGTAGAATTATTATAACAAAGACCAAAGATATCTCCCATATGACTATGGCAATTAACGGAATATCAAAAGAAAGGGATTTAGCACAGTTTTGTGATCATAAATCAACCTAAAATATATCAAACAACCATCGTCATCTTCCTTGTCCCCACAAGTCATGTATTACTATCAACTCTTGAGATCAAATAAGTCCTTTTTCTAAGTTGGAATGGGGCCTTGGGTAAAAGGGTAAAGAAACAAAGGAATAGGAATTCAAAGAATTAACTCGAGAACGTTTTGCATATCCATATCTCTTGACATAACTCATATCTTCCTTTGAATCACAATTCTCAACCCTAGCCAAATTTTCAATCTCTTTTTTTTTTTAATGTTCTTCATTTCACAAAGCACATATATTTTTCTCTTTCTCAGCGAGTCAAACACTTTCAATAACAAGTTGATTAATTTTGCCTTTTCTATTTTTCTTTCTTTGAATCTCAACGAAATATCTCCCTTTCATATGCAATATAATTACTTATTCTCGGGATAACCAAGGGTCAAAGATAAGATATTTTACAATCGGGGCTTGGTTATTATTTATGAGCAAACAAAGAAAAATCTAATAAATTGGCTCAAACATGGCTTCAAATGATCATAAAATTTCAAGAAATAAATTTAAGACTCAAATTATATCAAATATGACCTAAAATTGTATCTCAAGATTGTCAATTAACACACTTCTTATGCTAACAATTTAGAATCAAATAATCATTCTACATATCATCACTGACCAAAAAAAGTATAATGAAACTATTCAAACAATTACTAAATGAAATTCTTATTATTGAATAATTGTAAATATCTCTCCAAAAATGAAAGGAACTAAACTTACCAGGGACATCATATTATTCTCCACTATATGTATGAAGTTTCAACATAACATGTCATTCTCCTAACTCCTAGTGCAAGCATGGTCATACATGCACAAAGTATAAGTTTCAACTGTAAAGTTAATTCACAATATTGGAGTGTGATTAACCCTAATTAGTATGTAAATTAAAATAATTAAACAAGTAAATTTTGTAAGATAAAATAGTTAAAAACTGTAAATTAGGGTTAGTGCAGAAATCAGGGTTTCATGTATGTAATGCCTGAAATTTTAGGATTTTTTGTAGAAAGCAAGAAGAGCAATCTGTCAAAGTTATGAACAAGCAGGGGTGCAAATGTAATATCAACATAGAACATGCAAGAACACTGTGGAACTACCACCACATTCCAGCAAACCAGCACCGTCTGAACGGTGGTGGTGGGGTCCGGACGGTTATCTTAGGTGGTTCAAGGTTATCCTTCCACCAACAGCTTCTACTTTGCCTATAAATAGGCTTTTCAGCCTTCATTTTTGGATGGTTGAAGAGGGGGAGCTCCAAGGAGGATCCAATGAGAGCAAAAGAAAGAAAAATTCTAGAAGAGATTCAAGAATCCAAGGGGAGATCCTGTCGAACCTACTTTTCAACTAGAATTATGTTATTTCTACCTTTCTATTATGCCTTTCTACTTGGAGAGTTGAATTTCTACCACCTTTGTGTCTAAACTGATATTAAGGGTGGTTGTATTTTAATTATTTCTTGAGAAAGGAGTGTCAGTGTCTATATTTTATTTAGTATTGTAATGAAACTTACCTGCACTTCTTGCTTGTTTATAGCAATGGAGTGTGAGTTGTTTAATTATACCCTTTAGTGAGGGGTAAACATATGTATATTATTGGTTAAATTATTGAAATGCAGATGTTTAATTATGCTTTATTGATATATATACCTCTCTTAACTGATGGATAATTATATTTATAATATGCTCATAGTTATGAACATCGAGCAGTACTTAATATTCTATACCATACTATCTATTATTATGTACTTCAAGCATAATACAATGATTTACATAATTGGGTGTTACATAAAAGTCGATTGATTGGTTATAGACGAGTTAAGTCTCAGCATAGCCAATGCTTTCAGTTCAATACATAGCCCAGAATTATGTTAACAGTGAATCATTAACCTGCTGATGGAATATCTAAAGTGTTCCATCTGAATGGCTTGACCTTCTGGTGCACTAAGGATGTTTAAATGTTGCATGGTATAAAGTTGTCAGATGAATAACCTAAGTGATACTCCTGAATGACTTGACCTTCTGGTTCACTAGGGTTGTTTAACTGATACATCAAACTGCCAATTAAGTAATTCTAGCATTCCTCTTGAATGACTTGATCTTTTGGTTTACTTGAATTATTTAATTATTGCATATACCACCAGCTAACTTAAATAGTTGTTGTGTTATGGTTTAATTTACATTAGACCTACCAGTTGACTTTCCAGTAACTTGGGAGTTAATTGTTGTAAGGTGACATTTTCAGTACTTAACCAACATAAAGCATATGAGATCCTTAAACTGAAGGGTACCTTTATATTAGTGTCTTTTAACAACTTACCTACGCATTTTTTTACTCAGTCTAGTTATCAATCTAAGCTCACATCACAAGCTATCTTATGTTTCACTGCTTTAACAATAACTTCACTATTCTTATTTTAAATTTTAGTTATTAAAACTCTTCATTGGAACGATCTTGGACTTAAACCGAGAAAACTACAATTCGGCCACTTATACTTGGGTGTATAATATAAAGCAGGTCACGAAATAGGTCGAACCAAGTTGTTGGCGCCGTTGCCAGGGAGTTACGGTAGTTTTAATTTGAGTAGGAAAGTTGTTTATTTGTATTATATGTTTATAGATTTTTTGTTTTCTTTTAATAGTTTATGTCTATTAATTCATCAGTAGGTTCTGTAAATCAATCATCTCCTTCATCTTCATCATCTTCATCTTCACAGGCATCATTTGATTTAAGAATGGCTCAAAATGTTCCAAGGGA